TTTATCCAAGTATATTAAATGTCACCCACGCCGACTTAGCATCCTGCTTATAAAGTAGTTCCTTCATTGATTTCCTTTCTAGATTTCTTCATCTAGACCAAAAATTCAGAAGTAATTCTAGATTTCTGTCACCCATATCTAATTGGTTGGTCACTAAATCCTCTGAATTCAATTTCTGCAGCCACTGCAACTGAATCTCAATAGGCTTCCCAACCTCCATTTCACTATTCTTGACTTCTACTCCAAAACAGATACTAAAGGCCAGGGCTTCACTTAATCATCTGTAAATCTCTATTCCTAAACACAATTTATACTTAGAGAATTATTTGGTAAGTCAGTGAGTAGAGAAGTGATATTGTTCCTACTGCTCCACAGAGGCACTCTATTCTGGGACATGCTTTCTTTCTACCTCAATACACTACTTCCCTTGGCTTGGAATGAATGCCCGTCCCAGTCTTGCTCATCTCTAAGTTGTGTCTTCTCTGAACTCTACTCCCCCTGTGTATATATTTCTAATTTAGACCTTATAACATTGCATTATAATCATCTGCTGCCACCTCAAGACATTATTCATTACTGCTACCTCTAAGCTATCTATTAATAATCTATTAGTATAATCATTAATAATTAGAAAAGTATATTTCTCATCTCTAAAAATTAATAAATTTCTAGATAGTAGGGGTTGTATTACAAATAACTGAATTTTTAGATAGTAGGGATTATATTGTTATGAGTTGAATGATGCTTCCCCCTGCCCCCCAAATTCATGTGAAAGCCTTAATCCCCAGGACTTCAGAATGTGGCTATATTTGGAGATAGTGCTTTTTAACATTTTACTAAGGTAAAAAAAAATAAGGATGAGTCCTAATCCAATCTGACTAATATCCTGTAAGAAGAAAAAATCTTGACACTAAGAGGACACAAGCACAGAGAAGACCAGAGAGAGAAGGAGCCATCTACGAGCAAGAAAGAGACATCTTAAGGAAAGGCCAAATCTGCCAAAACCTTCATCTTGAACTATCAGTCTTCAAAATTGTGAGTAAATAAAACTTTGTTGTTTAAACCACCCAGTCTGGCATATTTTGTTATGGCAACCCTAACAGACTAATAAAAAACCGTAGAATAATGTTTGCCACATAGTAGTTATTTGGTATATATTATTTATCTGTCATAATACCAATATGCATTTCCTCTCTCTCTCAAAGGGCAAGAACTGTCATAGTCATCTTTGTATTCTAAACACCCAGCTAAGCAATTAGCACATGGTACTCATTCTGACTAAAAGAAGTAAGAATGAATTTGGCTGAAGCTTTAGAACTCATAAAATTCATCTGTTGCAAATAAAGCTGGAAATGTATTAAAATCAGACCACAGAGGGCTCTAACCCTGTGAATTTGGGGGCTTTATTGCACAATTTATATAAAACAGAAGATTCTTAGAAAACAACAAGATTAGGGATGAAATTTCAGCAAAATTAGTCAAATGATGGTATATGTAAGAACGGACCTTGGAGTAGGAAAAGGATATACTGCAAGAACCAAAAATGGTGAGCAGTTAACTTAATTTACCATATTTACAAGATGATAATTAGGGTCAAATATCTGGTACTGGTCATAAAACATACAAGGTACATTTTTCCTCACTTCATATTTAATTTCTGTTCACATCATCCTTCAGGGACAGAATCTGGGTAAACACTTAGGAACATGTATAGCTTTCAAAATGTTGGCTTTTGTCTTCTATGTATATGCTAGTTTTTTCCCAAATGGCCAAGTATGCTGCAAAATAGAACACTGCAAGCTTTCAAATACTCATGGGAACTTGTAAAAGTACTACAACATTCATGTAATTTCCACTTGCTACACAACAGCCCCTGAGGTTGTTTTTCTGGTGCATAACAAGTGGTTCTGTTGCTAAGAAAAAAACTACCTCTTGACTAAAGATAGGAAAAAAATCTGAACAGAGATGAAATAATGCTTTTGAATTGCATCACTCTTTGCCTTTATCTGAAAGAATAAAGGAGGAAAGTTACAAATATATCATGTTTACCCATGAGATAGAGCTAGCATATTCTTCAATTATGAAAGAATTAAAGATTCCTTAATTTATAAAACTACATAAGGTTATAAGATTATATAAGGTTATAGTGCACCAGAAACTATAGCCTCTTTCCTTAAAAGTAATATAAACATCAGTGGAATTATAATTACTTACTTACGGGGAAAAACTGGTTTAATACTCTCGAGACTCTCTTCAAGCACTCAAATTCATTTCATAGTCCCTAGATCTGTTCCATAATAAGATTAAATTAAAGTGTAGTCCAGGGAATATAAAAATTACCAAGTATAAGGGGTCATTCTAGAGCGTATACACAGGTACCTACTAATGAACCAATTCAGGAAAATTAAAGTATGATTTAAATAATGATGATAACAAGAACATAAATTTTTTTAAATATTTATTTTTTAGTTGTAGTTGGACACAATATCTTTAATTAATTTATTTATTTTTATGTGGTGCTGAGGATCAAACCCAGGGCCTTGCCCATGCTAGGCAAGCACTCTACCGCTGAGCCACAAACCCAGCCCCAAGAACATAAATATTAACTGATAAACTTTATGAAACACTTATCATGTCCTGGGTATTATGCCATGGGCTTAACATATTTAGATTAAATCATATTAAAAAGCAATTTCATAAGATTGAACCTAATATGGTTTCTCATATAATCCTTATAAACACCACAAATCAAGAATACTATTATTACATTATTGTACAGATGAGGAAACTAAATTTAGAGGATTTAAGTTGATCAAAGTTAAGGAAGTAGGGAACAGCAGAACTGGGATTAAAGTCCAGGTCTAAATACAGAGCCCACATTCAGGCATCCATTCTACACAACCTCAACAGTCTTAAGATCCTAAAGAGCTAACAGGCTGAAGGCATTGGCACACAAGTTCTCTCATACACTGTTCAAAACCCCATGCAGACACTTGTGCAATCTGTCCACAACAGAAGACCGCAGCAAGGCAAAGGAGAGGAAGTATGCTGGCATGCAGCCCATCTCTTACAACCTATCCTGTTGCGAAATGACATACATGCTAAATAAAGGAGATTCCTCTCTCACACACAAAATTGCTACATTAGCTAACAGTAAAATAATTGCCAATTATTTTACTTTTCTCCTTTGTTCTTCATGCTGCTCATATAAGTAATTTAAAACATTTTTAAGAGAAAAATTTAATATTACAGATTAAAAATCTTTATTAAAAGGATACATATTGGGGTTGGGGTTTTGGCACAGTGGTAGAGCACTTGCCTCCCATGTGTGCGGCCCTGGGTTCAATTCTCAGCACCACATAAAAATACATAAATAAAATGAAGGTATTGTGTCCAACTACATCAAAAAGACAAATCTTTTAAAAAAATACATATTCTTTGATCCAGAAATTTTTCATTGTTAATAATTTACTATAAGGCAATAATTAAATATGTACCCCAAACTTGTGTTGTAAAAATATTTATCACTGTTTTTACAGGAAAAAAAAACCCTAAAATACCTAATATGGCCAATAATAGGGTATTGGCTATTATATTTCATTTTTTTAACATGGGATAAATATACTCATTAATGAATAAGCTATTTAACAAAATATTAAAGGAATGACAAATTTTATACAAGTCATATAGTCATTTTAGTAAAAAATGCAGTATATATTTGATATACAATACATTCGTGGGGCAAGGGGAAGGAATAACACTAGGATAGGATTGCCACTTATTTTACTTTTCTCCTTTGTTCTTAGTTTTCATAAGTTTTTCTGTAAGATACATAAAATCAAGATTCAAAAAAGCAAAGTAAGCAAACAAAAGCTATAAGAGTCAAATGCTAATACAAAGCTTAGGAACTGTTAAATACCAAATTCTGCTATACAAACATTTTATTACGCCTCTCAATTTGGAATTAGTATACTTAACTTACTAGCATGGTCTAAATTCAGGAAAAATCCAGGTCATTCTAATACATGACCTAGGTTGAAACTCATTACCCCAAAATACAAAGTACTTTAAAATATCTTTAAATGATAGAAACTCCATGTTTTAATAATAAGAAACATTTTACTTGTGTATGATGTCTTAAAGAAACGGAATTCTCAATAATAGAATGAGAAAAAACTGCTCCTGAGAGCTGGCAGTTGGCATGGTACTCTAAGCTTGGCTTCTGTGTATTCAGGTAAAACATGAACAACTTTGCAGAACAGCAGCATAAGACAAGGCCAGTTGCATCATCGAGATGGGCTAAGACAATAGCTAGCCTACTCTGCAATCAGGTCTAAACACAGACAAATCATGAGCATTGCCCTAACCACAAAAAGAACCTAACCATAATCCTATTTGCATTAATATGAATGACTGCTATTCCTTTACCAATTACAACTTTAGCTCTGCTCCATTCTTCTTTCTGTCTAGGGTTTTAAAATATCCCATTCTCAAAATTATCCTACTTCCTAATAGCATCCAATTCCTTGCAAAGTCCCACTCTCTTACACTTTACCCAATTACTTAACAGGCACAAACCCCATATGGTTCCCCATGATGCACAACCTTTCATGTTATAAAAAATCCTCTTTGTTTACAATCAACTTATCTTGTTTAACTATAGTTATATCTCTGGTGAACTTCCCTAGAAAGCAATAACAAGATTTAAGTATAAGCTGGGATTAGGAATAAAATAATAAAATTACATTAATGATTCCTATAGAATGGTATTAATGATACCTATAGAACAGGTATCATTCTATACAGAAAAGTTTTCTGACATATAAACTTATCCTACTGTAGGTTCCCACAAATTCAAAATTCCATGTGTTCATCAGGACTACTGATGCTGACTAAAATAAATAAATACAGTTTTTGAATTGAATTCTCATTTGCTCAGTTTTCCATTAATCTGAAGAAAATCCCAATATCAAAGTGTACCTGATGCTAAGCATTCTTACCTCCTGGGTCCTTATCTGGATTGTACTCTAAAGCATTGCTACAGATGAGGTCAATATCTTGCAGGAAATCTTTAGCAGTAAGATAATTATGTTTATCAATTTTAGTTATTACTGTTGATAAATCCATTGGTTCTTTGATTACTTCAAGATAATCTGAAACCTAAAAAAAACAGAATATTTTAATGAAAATTATTTAAAATTTTCATATGATCTATTAGTTCAAACAGAACTAATTCTTCAAAAATTAAATCTAGATATTTAAGAAATAAGTATACATAAGAGTAAATTCAATGCAACTTATGCTATTAAGTTTACTACCTAACATACTTTCCATGAAAAGCTTCAGTTTAAGTCAGATCTAAATCAACTCTGAAATGTTGCTCATCTTGAAATTTGAAACATTGTCACCTTATTATTTTTTTAATCCTTGGGTTTATCTGAGAAGAGAATGTATGGATAAAAGCACCCAATAAACATCATTAAATGTTATCTCAAGAAAAGAAAAAAAAAAAACAGAGGAAAATAAAATGCACAGACTTTTCATTTTATTATAGAAGTTCTTCTGGTAAATCTTCTTAAATTTTCCAGCAAAGTTTTCTTTTGTAGTTTTATACAGTGAATTGTTTCATGGAAAGTATTTTCCACTCCTTTGGAGTCATTACAAACATTCTGAATCAATAAAATAACAAAACTCAGTATTGTTTCTATAATTAGTGAAAGATTTGCTGGACTCGTCTCTAATATAAACAAATCTACAAAGAAAAATAAAAACTTGTTTGCTTTAGATGCCAATTTTCTGGGAGATAACCCAAAATAAGAGATATTATATCACTTAACCAATAAGAAAACATTCTCAACATACATATCTATTTCAAATCTCAAATCAAATAAAATAATAGGGTTTGATATAAAAGCAATCTTGCAAGAATATCTATAAGAACTGATTTCTGAACACAGGGCAATTTCTACTCTGTGAAAGTTAGGGTTGGTTTTCTCATGGTTTCAGATGGCATCAATGTCATGATTTTTAAGTTGATACACAGGTGTACACAGGTGCATATGTATAATTTGTAAATATGTTTTTCAAATTTTAAGATTACTTACACAAATATTAAGTATGGATATGTGTGAATTAATTTATTTTTCAGTCTCTTAGAGCTAAAAAGCCAGTTAATCTTTTTTTATATTTATTTTTTAGTTGTAGATAGCATGCCTTTATTTCACTTATTTATTTTTATGTGGTGCTGAGGATTGAACCCAGTGCCTCATGTATTCGAGGTGAGCACGCTACCACTTGAGCCAAATCCCCAGCCCCAGTTAATCTCTTTGTAGGGCATCAATGGAGCCACAGAAGATAGTTGGACTCTTGGTTCTGGGCATGCTCTGTGTACAAGTAGAAATTACTGAAAAACACTAGAAAAAATATAGTAATACTTTAATAAAGCCTATGTAATTTAGGAACATATGCTTAATATTAAACTTGAAAGTCTCTAAAGTTTTATTTTTCTGAAGTTTTGCAGTTTGTTTTGGAATTGAAGAAAGTTTTTAGACACTTTAAATTCATTATCAGCATATAACGTTTATGCTTTAGGCTATCTCAGTGTTAGCTTGCTTTCCCCTCTCTATCCTTTCCAGATATTCCTGTGTATTCAATTTTAAGAACAGACAAAAACCAGCAGCAGAGTGAACCTGAGAAGAACGAAGAAGAAAATAAGAGAAGCAAACCCTTAATAAACTTAATATCTGATCAGTATTTCTATTCTCTTGCACTGCTTTACCATGATTTATAGAACTTTCATTTTATTACAGACAGATATTATTTAAAATCTGACAATCTTTTCTGATTAGAAAGAAAAGAGTTTTCTTGAGCAAAAGCAAAACTGATTTATTCCCAGCATGGGAAACTGACTTATGCTTTTAAAAAGTGTCAGAATCCAAATATAAAAGCGGAGAGGGGTTTCTTTGCTTATTTAAAACAATCTTCCAAACTGGTTGCTGATTTTAAGATTATCTAAACACACTAGGAGAAAAATGCTCCACAAATATAATTTGCTATTTATTAATTAAAATGAAAATTAGGCATGTCCTGTTATTCTAGTGGGAAAAGATACAAGGGAGCCATAATATAACGTAAAGAACGTGGGCTTTGGGGCAGGGTTTGTGGCTCAGTGATAGAGCACTTGCCTAGTATGTGTGAGGCACTAGGTTCGACTCTCATATAAATGAATAAAATAAAGGTCCATCAATAACTAAAAAAATATTTATCATATAAATAAATGAATAAAATAAAGGTCCATCAATATCTAAAAAAATATTTTAAAAATATATTTAAAATACAAGAATGTGGGCTTTGAATTTTCAAAAATATTTTCAAGTCTTGGCTATATCACTTGCCAACAAGTTTCAATTTCCTCAGTTGCAATGTAAGAATAATATCAACCTTGCAAGAGCAAATTAACAAAGCTATGTACTGCAGATAAAATATTCAAATAAAATTTTAGATAGTCTCTTTATTCCATAAATTGGAAAATAGGTATTGCCAGACTTGCCAGGGGTGGGGAATGAAGGATAATGCTAACTCATTCTTCACAGTCATAGATGAGGTAATGGTTCCAAAGGAATCTGCTCACCAAAAGCACAGATTTCACAATTAGGACGCAACATTAAACTTTGAATCATTTTATAATTCAAGTTTAAAAAAAAAAAGAAATTAAAAAAAAAAAAACTTAAAACTAAAAACACCAAAGCTGTTCAAACATGGAGTCTGAACTTTAAGAAGGCCAGTAAAGATTACATTGTATTCATCCACACACTATATTATCCCAGGATAAAAAAAAAAAAAAAATTTTAATTGAGAGTATTACAGTAGATTCCAAATGGAAAATTCCTTTTCTCGTTATGACAAACCATGTTCCCACAAGCACACAAAACAATACATATAGAAAGTGAGAAATTTTCCACTGGGAGCAGAGAAAATCCTTGGAGAGAAAGTTTTAGGTGCATCAGATGTGCTTAATTTCAAACAGCATCACAGCTACAGGCATTTCCAAAATATGAAAGACAAAGAAATTTTCAGGTTCCTCATGCATCTCTTTCAATGAGGTAAACATAATTTGGGAAATGCCAATATTAATTGGTACTAATTGGTTAATACTAATATACTCTTTGAAAGCAGGATTTATCCTGGAATAAAAATAGTGTAGTATGGACATTTCATTAAAATAACCTTTAATCCTCCTCTTAAAGAGTATGAGATCACAAAGATCAATAATAATTAAGAGGACATATACAAATTGGTCACTCATTTCATCCAAAAGTCACCAGATGTTTGCTGATGACATTGATAGTTATCACATGGATTAAAATTTTACAGGCTAGGGGTAATATTCATCCATGCCTTTGCTTTTTTTCCTTCCAAAAAAAGATGTCAATATTTTTTTTCTTTTAGCCAGTTCAACTTCACTGTTTGCACACTACTGAAACAAGACCTCTTCAATATCCACCGGTTTGCTGAAGATGTTAAAGCGTTTATCTGTGGCCAGCCTCTTGGTTACATCCCTGAGAAACAACCGCAATTCTCTTAAAGTATTTTCCTCCTGGTCCTCCATCCGATTTTTTTCTGATTCTGACAACTGACGAGGTGGAGAAGGTAGTGCAAGAGGAAGCACTTCCATAGCACAAAGAGCTAAATAAAAGAGAAAAAAATGTTAAGATCCCAGCAGGGTGGAACCTCAATCACTTTTCTGGTACCCTCTCAAAACATTCTTTAAAGAAAAAGAGAATTTTAGATATATGTGAGCCATGCAAATCCAGCAAGTAAAAATTTGAATAGAAACAAAAAGTAATTTAGGGATTGGCTTCACTTTATAAAATAACTCACAATAGGACCCCTTTAAAGGACAAATTACATTATTTTAAATAATTTGTAATGTTAATTACATACAACTTATAAAAAATACTTCAAATTAACATAAATACCTTAAAATATTATACAGATTTTCTTAAGCCAACCTTGTAGCCATATATGGGGCTTCTTGAAATGGAACAGCCATATATGAGAAATCTAGTGAGCAAGTGACAATTTTTTGATACCTCCTATCCCCAAAAGAATTATAATTTAAGACAGGTCCTTTTACCCTGATATTCTGACCACTACACAGTAGGGATAGTAAATAACACTTTTAAGGAAGGAACAACAATAACAACAAAAGTAGAAACTAAAAAAGGAATCCCAAAGTCATTGAAGAGATGGGAAGCCAGTCTAAAGTGTTATATGTATGATAGTATGTACCCTAAGACAAACCAAAAATCTTCTTAGAAGGTAAAATAGTAACTTTCCTAAACATAATACAATCTTTCTGTCATAACACTGAAACTCAGGATTAAAATGATACATATTTTTACTAATTTCTAAATAGCTGTTAAGATGAAAGCAAAAGTCAACAGAAGCAATTCAAAAAGAAAAAGAATTACACTAACCTTAAACACAAAAAAATTCAGTTTTGGAACTAAAAATATGACTAAGTGTATGAAGGACTAAAATGAATCATTTTATGATGAAATATTTAAAATACTGATATTTATATTCACAGGAAGCCACAACCAATAATCAGAGAGTATAACTTACATAATGAATTTCCCAAGGTTTCTTGAAGAAAAAGACCCACAACTACAGCAATCTGATAGGCGTTCATTATTAAAACACTGAGAAAATTTGGAAAGGAGCCAATAAAGGACAAAATTATCAAAATATTGAATAATATAACCAATGAAAAACAAAAAGGGAGAAAATTATGAAAAAGTAAGGATTTGGCAGGGATGGGAAATATAATTAATATCCTACAAGGACACGAGAAACATTAAAAAAAAACAAGGGGAAAGGGGGAAAATTGCTATTTTAAAGAAGAGGCTGAAAGATTAAGCAAGCCAATCTTCTCCTTTATGCATCTTTAAAAATGGGAAAAGAAATCTTTTGAGTGATTCAGAATGCAGTCCTTACCTAAAATAAGGAACTGAAATCTGACATATTCTTAAACCCTTCTTAAAGCTATGAGTTTGAATCCAAGAAAAATCTAATGCTTAAAACAAAGTTATGATAGGTCTTTCAAATGCTACATAATGGTTGCTAAATAGGTATTTGAAAAATCAATAAATAAACAAAGAAAGACTAATGTTCTAACCAGCAAATTTAACCTACCCTGGTTCACAAAGTCATTAGCACAACACCTGGTATTCACAGTGTACCAGTTCACATCCTGGGAAATCTAACTGAGGATCTGGATGGGAGGGATGAGAAGTTCTCTTTAACAAAGCTTTAATGAGGCTATACTTCCCAATCTTAAGTCAGGTAAAGACAATGGTCACATTTTTTTTTTAAACATGTGTCCATCTAAAAATAAATATTATCTAACAAACTGTCTTCACTTGTATAAAGAAAGGATTAAAAAAAAATCGACTCCAAGAAAGTGTAGTTCTTAACTCCATGCTCCCTTATTTTCCTAACAGCTTTAGGAACTTACCAGTGTGTTTCCTTCGTGGTGGTGGCATTGATGCCTGATTGAGAATCAGTTCCTGGAAAAATTTCCTTCTGTCTTCTTCAACAGGCCTTTGAATATACAAGACCTCTTCATACTGTATTCTAAAGATACACTTAACCTACACATACATACACACACACACACAAAGACATTGAATATATAGAGAATTAAGAGCACACATATACCAAATTGCAATTTCTTTTTTTTTTTAATTTTTATTGTTGGTTGTTCAAAACATTACATAGTTCCTGACATATCATATTTCACACATTTGATTCAAGTGGGTTATGAACTCCCATTTTTACCCCGTATACAGACTGCAGAATCACATCGGTTATTTCTTCAATTTCCAGTACTGTTTTCAATATTCATATAACATTCATGGACTGAACAAGAATAGAAGATTGTCCAGTTACCCAAAACACTAATAAATGATATTATATCTGGAAGAGTTGTATGATAATAACAAAAATGATTGTAGCAAAAAGTTGATGATAATATTCAGATGGCAACAACCTCAAGAGCTTTTTTTTTAGGTGGACACAATATCTTTATTTTACATTTATGTGGTGCTAAGGATCAAACCCAGTGCCTCATGCATGCATGCTAGACGAGCATTCTATTAATGAGCCACAACCCCAGCCCTGAAGAGCTTTTACGTAAGAGCTGAAAAAGTAATTATCTCAAATCTACAACAGGAACTAGAAGGTCATTTAAGCCACCTCTCTTATCCTTATATTTCTTTGTATTCCTATCCACTGACTTCATAGCCTATGTTCTTTTTTTATATCAAGTCTAATTCACTGTATCCTCTGGAATCCTGTTTCTATTGCAAATAAACTAGACCGCTGACCTCTTCACAGAGTGTTCTGACACCACCTTCCATGAAAATTCTAAAGCAAAAAAAGCCAGTCATTCTCACATTCCCCAGTTCCTTCAACCTGGTGATTACCTACCTCACATCTGTTTACCTGCTTTATAAAGACTTGACCCCAGATTTCCCCCTTCTGAGATATGCAATTTAAGTCCTCTTTACATCATCCTCATTTTTCACCATGAACTTAACACTTCAGTTTATATTTTTTTGGAAGGTCTATCTTTGCCATCTAGACACCAAACTCCTCGTGAGCAAATGCCATTTCTTATTCATTTCTTTTTCTATACCACCACCATCCACTGAATATAGCACTTGTTGTTGTTGTTGCTGCTGTTGTTTTGGCAGTACTGAGGATTGAACCCAAGGGTGCTCTACCACTGAGGTACATAATCATTCCTTTTTTTAATTCTGAGACACGGTCTTGCTAAGTTGCCAAGGCTGGTCTTGAACTTACAATCTTCTTGCCTCAGCCTCCTGAATAGCTGAAATTACAGGCATGAACCACTGTGCCCAGCTATAAAAATTCTTAAGAAGCATGTATTGAATGAGTAAATACATTCTTATTAATTTTGTTACCCAACCCATGTCAAATTGGAAAAAGCAAATAAAAAAGAACTAAGCAGCACCAACCATGACAATGTGGAAATACTGGATTAGGATTCAAGATATCAGATTCTAACCTCAATATAGCCAATACAGTTGTGGTAAACTTTGGATAATTCATTTGGTTTGCCATTTCTAGCCACTTACTGGATTAACTCTACGAAGTGAACACAACAATTTCATAAATGTTACATCATTAAATCTTTATAACAATGAGGTATGTATTATTCCTTTATTTACAGATGATGAAATTTGGGGTCAGAAAGATTTTAAATTATTTGGCTCAAGGTCACAAAGTGCATAAAGCCTAACTGCCTTTTCCAGCTCTGAAATTCTGAGAAAAGAAACAAGGAAAGGTAGACATCAGAATTCAAAATCTGGAGGAGGAATTATTATGTCAACTCAAATCCAAGTCATTTAAAAAATTTTTAAATTTCACTTGTATCCTTCTGGTGTTTTGTGTAGGCTACCTTCATGCACATTTCCCTCCAACCCTTTGATCTATGCTTTGCTGGCCCTTCTTTGAAAGTTCTGGAAGCAAATTTACTACAGCATGTACTGTGTGCCAAACATCATGCCAGACACTGCAATTATAAAATTGAAGAAAACATGCTTGCTTCTTGTTGTCAAAGATCTTAGAGTCTCAGAAGAAAGCACATAATACCATGATGGAAGAGCTATGAGAGGGGTAGCAAACACACAGGGGAGACTTTGCAAGGGGCAGGGGTACAGAAGCATTACATAGTATATAGCAGAAAGGGCTTACACATTGACTGGATATTAAAAAGTAAACAGAAATAACATGATTCTGTTCAAGAGTCACAAAACATTTAGTTTTAGTTTTAAAGACTCTTTCTTCTGATCATTTTCAACATTAATTCATACTGAAGAATGGTTCTTATAATTCCCTGAATAAACCATGCTCTTTCTCATTGGTACATGCTATTCATTCTTTCCTGAAATCTTTTTATTTTTTCCTTCTTCAAATGTTTTTTTTTTAATTGGTGGACTGAACTGTACACAACAGTGGGATCCATTAAGTCATATTCCTAACACACATGCGTGTGCCTGCGTGCAGGCACACGCGTACACACACTCACACACACTGACATAATAATCTATCTCTTTCCCTAGTACCTTTCCTGGAAAGATCCACTTGCTCTACTCTACTGAACACCTTCTTTTCTTGTTCTTGTTACATTAATCCTAAACCCTTATTCATGCTCAACTTAGAAACTGATGCTTTCTGGGAGACTCCTGGGTTTTCTAGGCACACATTCGATGTTTCTCATTAAGCTTTTTTTTTTTTAAACACTTTAATGATTTTTAGTAAATTTGTACAATTGTACAAATATCACATGCCAGTTTTAGAACATTTTTATTAATCCCCAAAAGCTTCCTCATGTCTAATTATAATTAATCCTCACTTACACTCACACATATCAACCCAATCACTACTGACTAACTTTCCGTCTCTAGAGATTTGCCTCTTTAGAAATTTCATATCATATGTTATCTTTTGTATCTAGATTCTCTTGCTCACATGTATCTTTGGGTTTGTCCAAGTTTTAGTGTGTATCAGTATTTCATTCTATTTATTACTGAACAGTATTTCACTTTATGTACATATCACATTACATTTAGCCATTTATCAAGTAATGAACATATAGGCTGGTTCATATTTTGGTTATTATAAATAATACCACTAGAAGCATTCACATACAAGAGCCTTTGTGTTAATGTTTTCATTTCTTTTATGTAGATACCCAGGAATAGAACTCCTGAGTCGCTCCATAAATTTATGTTTAACTTTGGAAAGTGGCTGTACCATTATACAATCCCACCTGCAGTGTACAAGGACTCCAGTTTCTCTATATCCTTGCCAACACTTGGCACTATCTGTCTTTTTGATTATAGCTATTCTAGTGGGCTGCAGCAGTAGTTCATTCCTGGATGACTAATGACATAGCACCTTTCACAGGCTTATTAGCCATTTATAAATTCTCATATGAACATCACAAAAGAGGAATCATACAATATTCATCATTTTGTGAATGACTTATGTCACTTGGCATAATGCCTTCAAAGTACCTATGTTGCAGCATGTACCAAAATGTCTTTCTTTTTAATGTTCCATTGTTTGTATATGCCACATTTTATTTATTCATTGATTTGTCAATGGACATTATGGTTGTTTCCACTTTTAGCTACTATGAATAATATTGCCATGAACATGAGTACATAAATACCTGTTCAAGTCCCTGCTTTCAATTTTTTTGGGTATATACCCAGAAGTTGTCTTGCTGGATCATATGGAAGCTGTGTTTAATTTTCTAAGTAACTGCCTTGGTATCTTCTACAGCAACTGCAAAATTTTACATTCCCACCAGCAATGCACAAGGATTCCAATGTCTTCACGTTCCTCCCAACACTTGTTTTCTGTTGTTTGTGTGTTTTTAAATAATAGCCATCCTGATGAGTATGAAGTGATGTCTCATTGTGGTTTTGATTTGCATTTCCCTAATGACCAGTGATGCTGAGCATCTTTTTACATGTTTTGTTGTCCCATTTGTATATCTTCTTTGTAGAAATGTCTATTCAAGTTCTTACCGATTTTTGAATCACTTTTTTTTTTTTTTTTTACTTTTTTTGTTATGCTTTGCTTGTCATTGTTAAGCTGTGCTTTATACACCCTGGAACTCAATCCCTTATTAGATTTATGATTTCCAAGTATCTGTTCCCATTTGTGGGTCTGCTTTCATTCTGTTGATAGCGCCCATTGATGCCAAAAAAAATTTAATTTTTATGAGTTCCAACCTACTTATTTTATCTTGTCTGTACTTTTGGTGTCATATGCAAGAATTCACTGTCAAATCCAGAGTCCTAAAGCTTTGCTCCTATGTTTAAATTTAACACTCTTTAAGTTTGGGGTATTAAATTTAGATTTTGATCCATTCTGAGTTAATTTTGTATATCCAACTTTAATTTTTTGCATGTGGTTATCCAATTTCCCCAGTACTGCTTCTTGAAAAGACCATCTTTTCTGCATTGCATGGTCTTGAAACCCTTGTCAAAAAGCATCTGATGGAGTCTTTTCATTATTAAGTTTTAAGAGTTTTTTTTAATACGTGCTTGATGTAAATCATTTATCAGATAGGTGATCTATTTGATATATTTTCTCCAATCTCTGACTTGCTTCTTTTTTTCTTTTTCCCTGTTGCATACTGGGATTTGAACCCAGGGCCTCATGGATACTAGGCAAGTACTTCACTACAGAAGCACATCACCAGCATACATTTTCTTTCTTCTTCTTCTTCTTTTTTTTTTAATGTTATCTCTTAAAGAGTACAGTCTTTTGACTATTTTTTGGTTTTGTTGTTTTTTAAATATTTTTTATTTATTTATTTATATGTGGTGCTAAGAATTGAACTCAGTGCCTCCTCACACATGCTAGGCAAGTGCTTTATCACTGAACCATAACCCCACTCTAAGAGTATTTAATTTTTTCTTATGTATCATACTTCTTATATGTCCTATTACTATAACAGCACATCTATTATATTTTAATTATTTTTAATTTTTTTCAGTTGTAGATGGGCATAATACATTTATTATATTTTAATTTTTTAATGTCTCTCTTCCCACTCAACTTTAATTCTCATGGAGCAGTAAATGTCTTTTTGTTTCCTCACCTATTTTATTCATTCAACAAAGATTTACTGTACTAGAAATATGTATGCATATATAGGTCTGTTTGTGTTTATATGTATATCCAGAGACTGTGTTAGGAAGTTAGACACTGTGGACAGAAGACTAAAGAAAACAGAAATTGGGGTTTGGGGTAGTGGCTCAGTGGTAGAGTGCTTGCCTAGTATGTGTGAGACACTGGATTTGATTCTCAGCACCACATAAAAATAAATTTAAAACGATAAATAAAGTCCTATCAACAACTGAAAAAAATTTAAAAATAAAACAGAGATTTACCTGCCTTAAGTAAATTCAGACTTACTAGTACACTGCATTGCAAATAATAGGCACTTAATAAATTTTTGCTGAATGAACAATGGTTTTAACTTGATAAATATCACTCCTCAGCATCACAACATCCAGTAACTACTTCTATGGAGTCTTAGAGAATGTCAGGCAATTTAGGTATATGACCTTTGGAATTAGGAAAACCTGAGGTAAAATATTCACTTTCCCATACTAGCTGTGAGACCCTAGGCAAGTTACTTTACTCCCATTAGTTTCTGTTAGTCTGTGAGTCCAGTTAATCTAAAGAAATGATTTCCCAAAAAAAGTTTAGAAATGTTTCTTACATCATATCAATTAAAATTTGAAAATATTCTCTCCAGAATATTTATGTAAATACAGTATTCTATTATTTCTATTATAAAACATACATGGACAAAATATTTAAGACAATATGAAAAATAAACATGAATAAAAGTATAAACTTATTTGGGGGAACAACTGGACTATAAGAGAGAAAGATATATACAAAGAAACATTTACAAGACAATGTAAAAAGGGCTCTAAAAGATGAGGCTGTCATTTTGGCTCTCTATCAAAGCACTACTTCCACTGGGAATAATTCTTTTTTGAGGGGGGAGGGATATGGGGGGATTGAACTCAGGGTGACTCGCCCACTGAGCCACATCCCCAGCCCTCTTTTGTATTTTATTTAGAGACGGGTCTTCACTGAATTGCTTAGCACCTTGCTCTTGCTGAGACTGGCTCTGAACTCCCGTTCCTCCTGCCTCAGCCTCCCAAGCTGCTGGGATTACAAGCAAGTACCACCACACCCAGCCGGAAATAATTCTTTTGGGGTTTTCTTCTATTTTTAAAAGCTGAGAAAACCTTAAACCTTTTCCTTTCATCTTTGAATAATGGGTTTGTTTTCTGATTAGAAGAGTAGCATTAATTCCAGAAGATTTACAAAATGACAATTAAAAAGCATGTTATATGATCAGAAGTCTCAGAGAATTTCCATGATACTCACTTCACAAAATATGAGTAACATTAGTACTTGATTAATAAGGGCTAAATATACAGAACATAAAGTGAGAAAAGAAAGTTGTACTCTCAGGACTTGATGCTAGTAAATTACTAATATTTTAGATACTAATTTAGGGTACTGATAAACAAATAACGAAAAACCTTATTTAGTCAGAATACATTTTTTTTAAATTTTAGTTGTAGATGGACACAATATCTTTATTTTATTTATTTATTTTTATGTGGCACTGGGATACAAACCCAGGGCCTCACACGTGGGAGGCAAATGCTCTACCACTGAGCTACAACCCAATACACTCTTTGAATCCATTGAAAAGTACGACAACAGGGGGCTGGGGTTGTGGCTCTGTGGTAGAGCACTTGCCTAGAACATGTGAGGCCCTGGGTTCAATCCTCAGCACCACATATAAATAAATAAATTAAATTACGGTTTAAAAAAAAGAAAATTTTTTTAAAAAGTCCGAAAACATAGTAACTTTAAAAATGTATATGATATAATAATGTTAGCTTTGAAATATTAAACCAAAAGTAACAAATACATATGTACATGCACAACAGTAGCAAGCAACAGTAGCAAGACAATAAACTCAAAAGTTGTCCTTTTTTTTTTTTTTTTTTTGTATTAGGGATTAAACTCAGGGGCACTTAACCACTGAGCCACATTCCCAGCCCTTTTTTGTATTTTATTTAGAGAGAGTCTCACTGAATTGCTCAGGGCCTCAATAAGGTGCTGAAACTGGCTTTGAACTCATAATCCTCCCGACTCAGCCCCCAAGCTGCTGGGATTACAGGCATGTGCCACCACGCATGGCTCAAAAGACTTATTTATAAAATTTTAAGACAATATAGAAGGAAATTTCCAGGGAATTATTATGTTCTCAACTGGAATGTTTAATTTCCCAAATATTTTTTATGTTTTCTCTTTCTGTTTATAAAGTTTTAAAACTAATTGACAGAGAGGATCTAACTTTAAAAGTTGTTCCTAGGTTATGTCCAGATTCAGTCCATTCTTTCAAATCAACTTCAACTGCATTCATACTTTATAATACTAATACCAAACATTTTATAGCTTTATGATCTGAAAAAAAAGTTTCCATACGTTGGCTTATACTAACAACATTATCTAATATTCACATTCTATAAATAAGAAAACTGAGGTTATTCTAGCTTCATATATTTATCCAAGATCAAAAGGCTATAATAAGTTAGTACCTTGGTTTTTCTGACTCTTACTACATACAGTAGTCTGCTAAATTTCATTGCCCTGTATGATTATAAACATTCTGATTAATGGTTTTCATGTACTATCAGATTTTGAATAACCAAAAATAAATTTTTCTAAACTTAATATACTTCCTTATAAGAGCAGTAAATAATTCAAATTCATATTAGCAAAATAGCTAATGAAAGCTGAGACATAAAAGAAGTCAGTAAACAAATACCTTAATCATAAAATTTAACATAATCAGGATTTATATTATAACATTAAAACATCTAAATACTTTATATCCTCATTCCTACTGTGTCAACTGGGCAAAATATTTCTAAGCACTTCTCAAGGAGACTATTCGATGACCCAATAAGCATAGAATATTAAGACGATTTTTTAAAAATAATCTCATTCACATGAGTTGACACACCAATTTCTTTTCTGAATCAATTGTGATTTTCTCTTTGATTTGAACTCAAAAGCTAAATTTCATGTTTTAAAAACATACATATTAGATAATATACAACTTGATGTGATGCTACTAATAAAAGAACTAAAAAGTCAAATCCCACCAAATTTCCTCACAGGTAATTTAAAATAATTATAAGGCAACAGATGATGAAAGAGCTAAGATTTTCTTAGAAGGCTCTCTATATGTCAGATTCTGTTCTAAGCCTGAATCATCACAATCTTCAAGACTTAGGAAGACAATACTACTATACTAAAAAAGAAACTGAGGGCTGGGGTTATAGCTCAGCAGCAGAGTGTTTGCCTCGCACACGTGAGGCACTGGATTTGATCCTCGGCACCACATAAAAATAAAGAAAATATTTATTTTTTAAGATATTGTGTCCATATTTTTAAAAATAAATTAAAAAGGAAAGAAACTGAAATTTGAAACATTAAATAACTTGCCTGCATCATATGGCTAATAAGTAGTATAACCAGGATATGAAACTTGACATTTTGTATATAAACAATATAATTAGAAAAAATATTTAATTAGTTCTTACCTCTTCAGGCAATTCACTGTACATGGTTTCAGAGGTAGACAATAAAAATATGGGTGAAAATGATGGTATATCTTGTAGCAATGTCAGAAAAGTTGCTCTCACAGTTTCACTGACAGCTTCCCACCAATCGCCAATGTGAGGCATGTAAACAATACTTGGTACTGTTCTTCGAGCTTCTCGAAATATCTAATTAAGGAAAGAATTGGCATTTAAAAACTCAAATTCATTATTCTACAGTCTACCCAGCAACGCCTAGGTATATAAAATGTCTCAGGCTTGTTACTTCACTAAGTTTCAGTCCCTAATTTTAACTTTTTCAAGCTATGATGCACAAGCATAAGCTTCTATACTCTTGCCCCAACAAAAAAGGGTATTTTTTTTGCCACTTAACTATTCCTATTTGCTATATATTAATAGTATAAAAGTATCAAATTACTACATCACTATAAAATATGCTGGAAATAAAGAGATAAACATAAAATCAGTCACCCACATTAGAGCATTATCAGTCAGCTTTACATTAAGAAGAAAAGGACAACAAAATTGAAATGTTTGTGCACAATGTCTAAAATCACTCAATATATGAATTAAATAAACATTTTTAGCCAAGATGCACCACCCTAGAACTTAAAATGAACTACCTGCTGATACACTTATTCACCTCTTCCCATAACCTTAACTTCAATCTTTCATATAGTCACAAAATATTCTTAGTTCTCTAAAGACCAATAAGTAAATTAGTAAAAAAACTCTTGAGATATCTTCATTGTCCGAAAATACAAAATGAAGTTTTCCTCAGTGATTAAAAAGATTCTGAATCACAGTTTCAGTCACACTCGGCAAACATACACCAGTAAGGTTCAGGTTTGGGGATTAGTAAACTGCCAAGCAGAACTACAATCCTCCACATGTAAGTCAACAGCTCAATAGTCCATCAAAAAATTCTTGAATGTTAATATTATATCTCTTCATTATTTTTAACAAATTTAGGTATGAATACAAAAATCTGACTATACTTTTCCAATTTAATGTGAGAATTCTATTCCTAAAATTCCCCACTGATTCTCCCTCACTGTAATACACTTTGATTCACCAATGTAATGTAGCAGATACAGAAATAAGAATTTAACATTAAAAAATTATTAGGATTATCAGAAAATTTCCTAAAAATCAAAAGAATTATTATTCTTTAATGAGTAAGCTTACCACTTACATGGATTTATTAAATAATATTTTACATAGCTTTGGATCTGCTGTAGAAAACAAAATGCAGGGCCAATTCAATAGTAAACCAGATGAAAGAAGCTCAAATAAAAATTTCTCCCCAAATTTGAAGAAATGTGGATGTTATGATCTCTCATATCAAAAGGAATATTTGTTCCCTTATTTAATATTTTTGCATATCCACCAATCCAGAACAGCTACACAGTACAACTCCTTCAGGAGTCTCAAGTTTTGACCTTTTCTGTACATACACTCTCCTATCCTGAATCATGAAAATCCAAGGATTTTTACTCAAAAAAAAAAAAAAAAAAGTAAGAAAAAACCAAACATCAATATTGTCAAAAGGAAAGAACCATACAGGAGCACAAAGGCAACTGAGACATTTGTTTTTTAAAACAAAAAATTATTACATGCCACCCAAATCAGGCATGGTATGAAGAAGATAGTGACCAACACATTTTGTCGCTTTCTAGTTCCCCACTCTTTGCAGGAAAAATTGGGGAGAACCCAAGGAAAGAAAGATGATCTTATGAAAAAGAATAAGGAGCTATATACCTTATTGAAAAAACTTATAAACCTAACCACCTAATTCAGCTATGCAAGTCACCACATGCCCAGGGTGCAAGAGAAATGAGAAAACATGCCTTTAAAAAAATGAATTTTGACTTCATGCCAGTACTTCTAGGTTAGGTTTTCCAGGAATACATGTAGAGAATATCCAGCTATTACCAAGTGTGAGAGAGGAGGAGGAGAGCAAAAGAAGGTTAAGGGATAATAAGAACTTCACAGAGCCAGAAGTTAAATACTGCAGTACTGTAAGTGTTTCAACTACATTACAAGGCTGAACTAGATAAAAGCATCACCAGCTTGAAAAGAGATGGGGTTTTGTTTTTACTTCTTTCTTCTTTTCATTAAGCCTCTCAAAATTAACAAACTGAACATAATATTCTCCTTATTTCCAAAACCTTGAGGAAAATATCATTTTCTTGGTAGACTTTTAAAATTATATTTAAAACCTAAAACAGAAAAATAATCAGACAAATCTAAGACAAAGAAAAGCAAAAAGATTTAGGATTTCTGATTCATCAGTATAATTAAGTGAACTGAGAATTAACCTATCTAACTACATGAGATAATTATATCCAGAGAACATTTTTGTAATTTTTCTCCTAATTCTTTAGGTAGAAACCATCCTTACTTTTGAGAAAAATTAAAAAGCATCACTAAAATAAGTTTCATTTTAATTTCTTACTTGTAATCTCAGAATATTAAAATAAACCTTCATGTTGTCTTTAAATATGTAACTAGCTTGTTCTAATTTTCCAGTTCTTATAATAAAAAATTCAAAAAGACAGAGTCTAAGAGGAATGGGGCTGTAGCTCAGTGGCAGAGCTCTTGCCTAGCATGCCTAAGGCACTGGCTTCAATCCTCAGCACCACATAAAAATAAACAAATAAAATAAAGGCATTCTGTCCATCTACAGCTACAAAAAAAAAAAAAAAATTTTTTTTAATTTAAAAAAGAACAGAGTCCAAGAATAGCACTTCAAAAACTACTAGAGGATAAATATCAGGAAAAAAAAGTTTAATTTTATTGTCAAATGGGGGGGTGTAATATAAAAACGGTTCTTCAGTAGTTTGCTGATAATGTTTAAAGTAGTAGAGTAGAACACCCTCTGTGAAATCAAATAACCAGATAATTCAGAGTAGAAAAATAAAGTCTAGTTTTAATGAAGTGGCAACTGGCTGGGAACAAGTGATGCCATTTGAGAACTAGAAAAATACTCACCTATAGGGTGTCTTGGATTGGTGGATGTGCAAGGTGTAGTAGAAAACAGAAAAACTGTTATAGAGAAAAAAAGACAGTAGGCCAAATTACTGAACCAACCGTTTCAAAATACCTCTGACATGACCAGAGCACTCTTGCACAAGTAAAATGAACGAACACTGAAGTCCGTGAACTGTTCATTTTGATTCTTTATTTAAAAGATATATTCCATTTTCTTCTGGCCTCCTTCTTGCCCCGGACATCACAGTCCCTTACATAACTAATTAGTTCAAGTTTCTTCATTTTTTAAAAATATTACAAACTACACCTACTGAATATTGAAAGATTAATATCTTACGCAAAAATCAGGCCACTGAAGTTAGAAGTAACCATTCAAGGAAGAACCAATGATATAAACTGCAGTTGTATTTACAAAAGTTCTAATCATCCTAAAGCTAAACTTTGAAGCCAATGTTTTCACCATCAGATGAACATGTGCAGGGGCTGGGAATAGTTCAGTGGTAGATTGCTTGCCTAGCACGGGCAAGGCCCTGGGTTCAATTCCCTAGCACTAAAAAGAAACAAAACCAAACCAGTAAATTTTCACCCACCAATTTTTTTTGAAGGTAGCAGACAGTGCTGGGTATTGAACCCAGGAGCCTCAAGCATTCTACCAGCAAGATATAGCCCAAGCCCAGTGTTATTTTCTTAGTTCAGAATTTATAACCCCATAAAACTTTTTATTTAAAAACTGAAATATAGAAAAAAAAATTAAACCTAAATGTGAATGAAGCAAAAAGTTCAAAACCAGTAGTTTCACTTGCCAAAAAGAGGCTACAAAGGAAAGAGTAAAGCACTTTTATGTCATCAAGAAATTTCCAGAATTTGTCTCAATCAGTTAAACAGTATTATGAACATATTAAATTTATAAAACACAGGTAAAAGTAAAAATTGGGAGCTAAAACATTCTCAAATTTTATTTAAAAAATTTAAAATATTTATTAACAAAATAAGTTTGATTCTTTTTACCTTTTATCACAAAATATTAAAATAAATAATATCTCCACATCATCTTTATTCCACTTATTCTATTTTACTCCATTTATGTTCCATTCACCTAAGATTTAGTAAGCATCTTCTGTGAAAAGAAGACATCATCTATACTCTGAAGATTCAGGATTCAGGAAAAAAAGAACAGCCGGGTGTGGTGGAATACATCTGTAATCCCAATGGCTCGGGAGGCTGAGGACAGGAGGATAGTGAGTTCAAAGCCAGCCTCAGCAACTTAGTAAGGCCCTAAACAACTCAGAGACTCAATCTCTAAGAAAAATACAAAAAAGGGCTAGGGATATGGCTCAGTAGTTGAGTGTCCCTGAGTTCAACACCCAGTACCAAAAAAGCAAAAAGAAAGAAAAATCTCTTCATATGCAAACAAAATCGGCCTGTTATAAAACACACAAATACTTTGACAGTAATACATTTTATGAAAACTAAATTGCCTAAATTCTTTTCTTTTTTGATATTTTCATTTCCTAAAGACTTTAAGCATTTCAGTAATTGTGACAACAGAAAGTAGGGAGGTACTATTATGATAAAACCCAGCCAATTGTGAACAAACACAAAATTATACACATAGGTAAATGGATTAATTCCTTAATGCTACTCAAGAAAAAAGATTCCCTCCTAAGAATTTCCAGATATAATCTCTTCCTGAGGAACAAAACCAAAAAACACTAAAACTTTCACTAAAAAAAAAATCTTATTTGGGCTGGGGTTGTAGTTCAGTGGCAGAGCACTTACCTAGCACTGTGGGGCACTGGGTTAGATTCTTAGCACCACATAAAAAAATAAACAACTAAAATAAAGACATGTCATCCATCTACAACTACAAAAAAAAAATTTTTAAAAAGACCTTATTCACCATTTGAAATTATTCATAATACCATGTAGTACCTACACTCCAAAGTTTTGATAGAACAGAGACTGATTAATTCAATCAAACCTATTAATGAAAAAGATAAGATACAACACACTCATCAGTCTCTTTTTTCCTAATTCAAAAGTAGAAATAACATAGGAGACAACAGTTAAATCTGAGGATGTCAGAAAAAAAGAAAACAAAGTTGTTGCTTTTTTTTTTTTTTCAAGTGCTAAAATCAATAAGGTACAAACATCTCCTGCCTTGTTATAGGGTT